CAGATTGTGCCTCCCCAGGGAACCAGTTAGTTGAGATAAGACCAGAGTTCTATGGCTGTAAGAGCCAATAGCAGGTGTACTGGGCTCCCAGGCCCGAGGGGAGGGCGAAGATGAAGCCAGGTGGGGTCAACAGGAAGAGACCCAGGGAGGGTGAGGCGGGGTCCTAGGGGAATTAGCCTCGGGCAGGAGGGACACCTGTTCCTCTGAATCTAGGAAAACAAGGGCTATTGAAGAAGCGGGAGGGTTTTTGGCAGAGTAAAGGGAAGAAGAGCAGCAGGAAGCAGGACTTCACGGAGGTGAGAGCAGCGCTATTAATGAAGGTTCTCCTCCAGCCCTCACAATTTAGGGCCGTGGATCAGAAAATTTAATTCCAGAATTCTGGAGACAGATATGGGGTTTAGAAACTTAAAAAAAAAACTACTATCATCATGATTTCATTTTAAATAGAGGGATGGCATTTAACACACCAAAGAAGGTAGAATGGACATAATCTCAGAATAGATCTCCTCGGCTTTATGACCAACTCATTCCGTTGTCCTCATTTTTCTCATTTCGCCAAGGAGGATGACTCCTTCCTCCAGGACGAGTGCGTGGGGAGCGAAGCTCCAAACCGCCCCCGCCGCCAGCAGCTCCATCCCCGCAGGGCGGGCGCGGAGCCTGGCAACGCGGCGGGCGCCGGTACCTCTCCCCGCCGCTCCTGCGCCCCGCCGCCGGCCTCGGGCTGCACCCCGCCCCGCGGAGCAGGCAGCGACTCGCGGGTCCCGGGCAGCGAGCGGGCCACTCCGCCGGGGCCAGCCTTCGTCCCCTCGTGGGCCAGCGGGGAGCAGACCCGGGCGGCGGCAGTGCGGGGCGGGCACATCCTGGAGCCGAGGGGCGCCCCCCCTCGCCCCACCCTGCCAGGGCCCAGCCCGGCCCCGCCCCACCCGCAGCCCCCTTCGCACCCCGTCAAGCGGTTCCAGCGCGGACCGACCGGGCGGGGCAGTCGGGTGGGAGTGGGGTTGGGTGGGGGTACAGGTGACAGCTCGCCGGGCCGGGCGAAGCGTGCCTCCTCCGACAGCTCTGCCCCGTAGGTGTGAGGACACCCTCGCTGCAGCCCCGGCTCGGATATCCGAGGCTGTAGGTCCCAGCTGCCTGGGGGTCCGGGTGCCTGAGTCCACCGTGGGGGTCTGGGCGCTCACGCCCGCTCTCGCCCCCGGAGGCCCGCTTCTCTCGCAGGAGAGCGAGAGCCAGCGGGCGCCCACGCAGGGCCACCTGGAGAGGCCCGGCAGAGCCCATCCTCCGGCGCGCGCCCTACCTGTCGTAGCTCCAGCGGCTGTAGGACAGGGTCCGGTGGCTGCTGACTCCCTCCATCGCCGCCTCCCGGCTCCGCTCCGGGCTCCGAGGGCGGCGGCAGCGGCTGCGCTGGGCTCCTAGCTCGCTCGCTGGCTTGCCGCGGGCCCGGCCGGGGCGCGGGCGGAGGACTGTACCATTCGCCCCCCCGGGGGTTGACCCCCCCCTCCGGCTCTGCCAATGGCGGGGACACGCGGGCTGCGGGGACCGGGCCCACGGGGCCCCCTCCCCCGCGCTCGGGTCCCGCGGGGGCGCGGCTGCAGCAGCCTGAACTGCTTATTTATTTATTTCCGATGTGTGCTCCACGTCGCCATGACAACTGCTCCATCTTTTCCGGCGTCACTAGGGCACCGCTGCTTTCAAACCTTCCCGGGACAGGGACTGCTAAGAGGCTGCTCCTTCCCCTGCTGGCCTGCGAGTCCCGGACACGCTTTCCCTACGCGGGCTCCTTCTGCAGAGCTGCCCTCTCCTTTCCAGAGTGGGAGTCTTCATCCGTTCGCCCCTCCGACCTTCCACCAAGTTCCCCCCCCCTCCTCAGGAATGGGAATACCGATCCCCCTAACTTCCTAGGTTCCCTCCGTCTCCCCACCCCTCCTTCCCCAGTGTGGCTCCCTACTTACTAGGAATGGAAATCCACTCCTTCCTCCCTCTTCCCCCACTGGATTCCCTCGGCTCTGCTATCTGGCATACTGTAGCTCTCTTGGGCTCCAAAAACCAAGCTCTGTAAACACCCCCATTTCTAGGCCATCTCGTTCTGTTTATGTCCCTTTGTGCTTTTCCGTCATTACTACTAAAAATCCTTTGGGAAGAAATCCAGCTGTCTTGGCTCAAGCAGGGAACAGTGTCTTTGTCTATACCTGGCTGACAGTGACCCAGGGAAAGCTATGGCGAGAGGGGGCCCCCCTGGTAGGGAGAGCAGGCTGGCATCTTCCTGTCTGCCCAGCCCCTTTCCTCCCCTTCCCCCACCTGGGGCTGCCCGCTTGGGGATTTACAGGTATAATCTTCTTGCAGAGGTCACAGAAGCCTAAGAAGGACCTTCCAGTGCAGCTGTTGTGGCGAGGCTGGCTAACTTTAAGCCAGGGTCAGGGTCAGCGTAGAGATGCCCTGGAGGTGGAGTGCAGGGAGGTAGGGGGTAGGGTTTGAGCTACACTAATCCAAGGATCCTGCCAACTCCTGTGAGCTAGAGTTAACCCCGTGGCTTACAGAGGATGCAACTGCCAGTGCACCTGTTGCATCCAGCCTACAAAGGTGTTTTGTTTATTCTGAATATTTTTTTTTCATTGAATAAATTGACAACATTTAAAATTGAGAGATTTAAAAGATCTAGCTTTCCATTTTCTCTTGAAAATGAAGAAAATCTGGCAACTCTGGGCCTACCTTCAGCATGGCAGGCATCGAGCAGAGCAGTGGCTGTTCTCTGCACAGGCAGCAGGGAGCCTGTTGTTCTATAGGCCTCAGGCCCCAGCCAGTCAGCTTTTCTCACTTACATAACTTACCTGTCGCTATAGCTTTTAAGTTTGCCATCCCTGTGAAGTACAGTCATCTCTGGAACCACTGAAGTTTCCCAGCTGGCTCTCAGAGCTGCCCAAATGCATTATTAGCCATATTTACCAAAGGCTGGGTACTTAGCAAAATGCTGCATGTCCCAAGAAGACACTGTTAATGCCCCTGTGGAGTTTACAGATGGACATGCAAGGACTGACCCCCAAACAGAACCACTGTTTCTGAACCATATCGTGATGGTGAGACTCTTGGCATACCCACGATCTCAGGAGCAGGGGATTGGGACTCCAGATTCAACTTTTTTTGACTGTGTGAGGCCTTATTTCATTGTTTAGGGGTAGGGGTTGGTGAACTTCCCTATCTGGAGAATGTGTAGGAGTCTGTGGGGTCTCCCATAGCACCTGTAAGACCAGAAGCTACTGCTCCTGCCCCATATGTTATAAAACAAACCCCAAGGATGTCCCTTCTCCAAAGAACTGATGGTAAAGTGACAGGACATGAGAAGGTCCAGCTCTATCCAGCAGCATCACCCCACCCCAATCCATGCTAACTCAGAACCAGCAGTCACAGAGGCCTCCTGACTGACTTTGGCACAGCTGCCAGGTTCCTGCAGCCTGCCTTGGTGGGGCCATTGAAGGTGGTAGGAATAAACACAGATTGTGCCTCCCCAGGGAACCAGTTAGTTGAGATAAGACCAGAGTTCTATAGCTGTAAGAGCCAATAGCAGGTGTACTGGGCTCCCAGGCCCCACCTTCAAATCCTGTTACCCCCTAGAAGTACAAACAAGAAGCCCAAGGCCAGCTGTCCTGATCCAGAGCTGAAAGCTATAGAGAAGCTACACCCCAGACATCCCTAGGGCAACTCTGGGCTAGGCATATGGAAGAGCTTAACAAAGCCCCAGAGATAAGACCTTTGACTCTTACCAATGCCAGGAGCTGTATGTCAGCATTCTGTAGGAGGGGGACATGTGGGAGTTTTAAAGCATGGCCACAAAATCTTTGCCATTCCCCTCATTGAGAAGTAAGGTCTATGTTACCTCCCCTTTAATCTGGATGCTATGTGACTTCTGAAGTTAAGTACTAAAAGGTCTTTCAGCATCCCCTTGTTCACTGGACCCCTAAGCCACCATGTTAGAAGTCTGACTACTGTGAAGCCACCATGCTGTCAGAAAGCCCAAGCTACAAGAAAATGTCATATGTAGGTGCTTCAATTGACAGTCCCAGCTGAGCCCACTTTTCAAGTCCCCACAATCAGGTGCCAGACATATGAGTGAAGAAGCCTTCAGACGATTATAGCCCCTAGCCCTTCAAGTTGTCCCCAGCTGCTTGAGTCTTCCAGCTGAGCCCCAGACATCACAGAGGAGAGATAAGCCATCCTTGCTGTGCCCTGGCCTGACCCAGAGAATCTGTGAGCATACCAGTCAGGCAGAATTCATCTCAGAGGAGCTGGGTCTTTTTCCTTGAAAGCTGATTAATGGTCTTTCGGTTATGACAGCAAGGGTCCCAGTTAGTGTGCACAGAAGAGCTGCAATTGGCCTAGTAAAGCAATAGGAATTTAGGGGTTGTCCTCTGGTAGCTAAATGATGAGAGGCTGGCAGTGGGAGAAGAGAGAATACAGGAGAAAGGCTTGCATAGGAAGAGAGGGTGAAATCGCAAAAGACTAGAATCTAAGAAGGAAAGTAGCGGGTGAGAAATTCCTGGGGCAGGGATGGCCAAGGAACTCGAAGAATGAAGATGTCTAACGTTCTATTTTAAGTTGGTTCCTGCTCCATCATGCTGCTCTACTCTCACCAAACCTTCAGTAAAAGTCCGATATGTATACACCATCAGCTCCCATGAATGATGCTTTGGGGAATGCAGAAGGCAGGGCACTGTCCACATGTGGGACAAAGTGGAGTAGGAGGACAGCACCCCTAGCAGCCTATTGGAGATTGAGAAGTAAGTTGGGGCAGGAATGCAAGGCAAAGGAGACCAGGAGAGCATACTCCTTCTTGGAATCCTTGGGCATATCAGCGAGGGCACTAGGCTTCCCCAAGTGAATGGAAGGGGCTAGAAATAGTCTATTTGGATTTTAAAGGGAAGTATAACCTTAGGAGGCTGGAGGGCTTCGGGCTATCTGTGAAGATACGTGACCAGTGGTCCTGGAACTAGGGGCCTGGCTATTCTACACTAAGGTAGAATTCCTCAGCCATGCCAAAGCCCAACTGTCTAACACGTTTCTGGGAGAGCAAACAAGCAATGGATAAGCCCAAAACTAGGACCTAGAACCAAGGGTCCACCATAGCAAAATGAGGAACAGGGAACTGGGAATCTATGTTCCCAGAGAATAAAACCCAGAAGGAAAAATCCTCAACAGAGATGGAGAGCTATGAAGAAAAGGCACCTCCTATACTAAAGCAAGGTCCATACTCTCAGAGTAAAACTCTGGACGAAAGCACTGCTAAGCTAGAGCCAAGTGCACTCCATACTGGGTCCCTAATGCCCACCTTTTTCCTTTAGGTTCCATTTTCACTGCTACCACCACATTTTACCTTGAGGCAATGCTTTCCCTTAAACACTCTGGTCCTGGTGAACACAATCCCTCTGTTCCCTTAGTGCAGCAAGGAAGGGCTAGATCTTAAAGATTTCATTAATTTTTGAGGAAAGATACAGGAAAATAAACAGAGCCATCACATGAAATGCATAAATGCAGTGTCCAGGACCCTGCACCTTTCCTCCGGCCATCTGCAGATACCTGTACCCTGATTCCAAAAGGTGGACTTGCCTACAGGAGCTCTTCCCTAGACATCCTGATAGCTGAATGCCCAAGGTCAAGAGGTGAAGATTCCCATTTCTCTTTGGAGAGATGGGCTTTGTGTTCAGATGACTAGCTTTGAATGACCTCAGCAATTGATGGGCCACCCCCTCCTCCCATACTCTCAGGGAGTGGTGGCTTCGAAGTCAGAGGCCCAACTGAATAACCACATTGCAATCTTACTCATTAATTCCTGCTATGGACTGAATATACATGCCCACCCCAATTCGTATGTTGAAACCTGACTCCTCCAAGGTGTTGTTATTAGGAGGAGGGGTGATTAGGTCATGAGGGTGGAACTCTCATGAATGGGATTAGTGCCCTTATGAAAGAGGCCTGACAAAGCCCTTTCCACCATGTCGGGACACAGTAAGAAGACAGACATTTGACATCTATGATCCAGTAAGTGAGCCCTCACCAGACGCTGAGTCTGCCTGCACCTTGATCTGGGACTTCTCAGCCTGCAGACTGTGAGAAATAAATTTCTGTTGTTTATAAGCCACCCACTCTATGGTATTCTTGTTATGGCAGCCAAACAGACCAAGACACTCCCGTTCTCTCCACCCCAAACACACACAGTGGCAGGAGGTTCTCATGCAGAGCACCTCTCAGCCCTTCTCTGTGTCCTCAGGTCTTTCTGCAAGTGAAGAAAGGGGTGAAGACAGGAATTTGAGAGGTCCACATACACTGACAGGTAGTTTTCTCAACATCCCTAACCCTGCTGTCTGAGGCAGAAACAGGCCTTCGTAGCTACGCAGGTAAGCAGCCCCACACTTG